GCCACCACGCCCAGGACCACGGCCACCTCGACCACCCCGATACCTTGAAAAAGTGCCAAAAGTCTGCCCCAACAAACAAACAACCATATCCATGAAAATCTCCAAAACTAAGATGGGCAAAAAAATAAAAAATAAATAAAAGGTACACTACCTCAGTATCTATCTTTATTTGCTCAGAGTATCTAGTCCTTCCATTCTGTTCATGATTCATAGCATTGCAAGAGATGGTATCAAAGAAGTCATCCTTATTGTAGACGGGCTGTGGCACAGGGGCACAAAACTTAACAAAATGAGATGACAGAAGTAATAAGAAGATTATTTCTTAATCTAGAACCCATTTAGATTATGAATGAAAAACATGATAGCCAAAGCCACCTTGATCTCAACCTTCGACAACTCCACATCATCTTCATCCTCAATATAATCTTCATCACTGGCGTTTCCATCTCCATCTTTGTCCTTTGGGTGAGGTTTGTTACTCTTACCCAGATGACCCCAAACCTCATCCTTATTGAACTTCTCATTCATTGCCGTGAAATCAAAATCTTCAGTGAATTTTGTTATTGGACGGGAACTCTGCAATCAAATTGTTAATTGTTTGGCACTGCCAGGTATCCCAAAAGGTATTACAACGACTAATTGGTAAGAGTAAATTGAATTTAATCAGGGGTAATCCTATCTGTAAATAATTTTGGATTTATCACATATATCTTACTACAGATTAAAAGCCATCAGAAGCGCTGAAAAACACCCCCCTGACAAAACATTTCCAATCAAGAAGTTCTCATTTTTACTCAAATTTAAGTTGTCACTCAGATTCAAATTTACTCTACATCCAAACATCCCTATTAATCATATGCTAAAAAGGTAAATAATACATTACCCCAGATCCTCGCCCTCTTTCGCGCCCCCTATAAGTATAACCATGGCGATTTTGGAATTGAGCTCCATTTGGCTGGGAATGCATTTATACATATATAGAAAAAGATAGAGACAATGTCAGAGACCTCATAAGATCATAGAGTAGATAATAGAATTGAAATACAAAAAAAGGAACTGAAGTCCTAAATTGTTATAACTTCATCTTTTTTATTGCACCAGTTTGTGAATAAATTCCTCCTTCTCAGAGAGAGAGAGAGATACCATCTTTTTTTAATACCCAGAAATCCCCCAAGCCTGCGTTGCAGACTAGACTTCGAAACTGGGGCCCACACCAAATCCTACAATCTTTAGGAGGCCGGGATAGGTAGCTTGAGGAATTAAACCCCAGACCATGTGGGATCAGACCACAGGTCCACTGGCCTGACAACTCAACTAAATCCAGTTGGTGAGAATAAGAGAAACCATGAATACTAAGATCTAAACAATTCAGTCATTTAAAAACCTGAAACTAGTTCAGAGCTGGCAATTTCACATAAATCTAATTTGCAACCCCAGAGATGTAAATACATGTACAAAAAGAAACTCAAACAAAGAGCCTGGCTGACGAATGAAATTTTCATCGGGTATGGTCCATCTTACACTGAATGCTAGCAATTCAGTCTAATAAGCCTGTTAAATAACAATCTAATATTCTACTGCACCCACCCACATATAAATAGACATCCAGGAGGAGGGGAAAACAAAGCAAGCAAGTCCAAGAGCATGAATGTATGACAAAACAACACCTTTTGACCAGCCCGTACAGGTGGTGGTAATGGCAATATTGGGGGCTGAGATTCGGCCGAGACTGGCACTGTGGGTTCTGATGAGGTTGACGATGAAACTTGGACCACCTCAACATCCTTGTGAGCGGTTTGCAAAGATTGAGTTGAAGAGACTGCAGCAGATCCAGATTGCAACAGCTGACCCGGGGTTACCAAAGAAGGCAGTAGTGTTTCCGTGCGCAAAGAACTGGATGTCCCGACAACAGAGGAAGTAGCTTGAGATATGTTTTGATAAGGCAAGGTTGGGCCAGAAATTGCATGAGGCTTGTTAGAGATTGGTGGTACAACAGTACTTATATCTGGGCTTGAAGTAGTTAGAGAAGAAATAGGTGGCAAGTTTGCACTAAGGGTGGCTACAGAAGGGGCAGAACTTGGTGCCTTGTTAGGCATAGAGCTTGGCAAGGTTTCAGAAGCTAGTGTTGTAGAAGGCACTGGAGGCAGAGTTGTTGGCAATGTTGACTGAGATAAAGAAGTAGAACTAATACTAGCAGCTGGAAGCAAAGGCGATGGAACTTCAGGCAAGTTTGAAGTTCCAGTAGGTAAGGAGGCATTAAAATTGGGGTACTGCAGTGGCTGCTGCATTGAAGAAGGCATTGATAGCCCAGGTGGTGGTCGAAGCAACGATTGCTGGTGTAAATGAGGAAGCCCATTTGGAGGGCCATAGTATCCTTGCCAGTACATTGGCATTGCAAGCCCACCACCATTTGCACTTGGAGGAGGAGGCGTAGCCCCCCATGACGCTAAATTGCCTCCAGGTTGATATAAAGGCAAACTACCTTGGAAATTTGGACCAGGGAGTCCCAACTGTGCAGTATGAGGATTAATATCCGTCAAAGATCCACTAGCAGGAGCAGGTAAGCTCGATGTTGAAGGAGCGGGGCGGGAGTAGTGAGACTGCAAGAAAGGTAAAAGGAGTTTGAGAGAGAAAGAGAGAATTACAAGAGGTTAACTAGATGCATCACAAAAGTGAGACGTCCTTCTCTTACTTGAATAATAGCTGGATCATTGTTTATAGGTGGTAGTGTAGGCTGAACAGGTGGAGAAGACTTAACCTGTAAATCCTGTAAACAAAAGCAATAATGAAAGACTTAGGGCTTCGATATTTACATGAAAATATAACCAAAAATGAATAAGTTCCAAAATTTGACATGATGACATTGCAGTGAGTTACATCCCACATCATGGATTATGACATTAGTGTTAATTTTTCTACCTTATATCATTATTATCATATAATTCAAGAGTCACCATATTTACACTCGAGTTTTCACACACCTTAGTAGTCAACAACAATTGCAAGTTGCAACAGTACATGCTCCAATTTTAATTTTATTTAAAAATAAAAATAAAAGCAATGTCCTTGCCAAAGATTGAAGAAAAATACCTTTATTGAATAACTTAAAATCATAAAACAAAGGAGATTCAAGGTTTTTTTGGTAAATTATCAATCCTCAATATAGAACGCTCATTGTGAATGTCTTGAAAAACAAAGTTTGGTGACCAGACTCTGGTCCTAGGGTCTTAGGCATCTGTGTAAACCATACCTTGATGTCACTCCCGCGGAATAGTATATACTCATAAACTTTGTCACCCGGAGGGATTTGTGGTCCATCCTTCTTCCTTCCTTCTGTTCCAAAAGATCGTACTGCCATGTAGAAAGTAACAAATTACCACCAGCACATCTACCCATATCTCAACAATAGCACTTAACAAATATTATACGCATACATAAACTATTCATAACCATTTCATGCTTCAGGTAAAGGTAACGTGACATCAAAACCATACACCAACTAACATATGCAACCCTTATTTCCATGCACGATTAATATATATTAACCATGCTGATACCCTCCACTTCTACCATTTGATAGCATTATGACAATGAACCATAAATTAATGGATGCAATATACTGTTCTGAGATTAAACCATATGTAAAAGAACAAATAACCATGCACCACAAGTGGCTGTTATAAATTCCATAACCCTGTGGACACAATGTTTTTGTAATAAAACAAAATTAGAAACGATTTTTCGTTCTCAAGATATCTTATTGATGCCAGCAGTGGTATCAAGGAAACTGAAATTACTAGGAAGCCAAATATGAATTGTTCAATCAAAACAAAATGACACAATTTCAACAACAAAAAATATAGTCCTTGCCAAAAATCGAAAAGATAAACCAGTTACAATCACATATATTTAAGAGACAAACCATTTACAATCAGAGAGTTGGACATTTTCACAGAAATTTACCCACATTAGTTCCTCGCCAAACCATACTTTCATACTCAGTTCAAAGCACACGTTAATGCCTGAATCACATACTTTCCATACACACACGTGACTGATAGCCAGTTTTTAAAAGAAATTTCATAATAAGCGAAAATTTCAAATATCTGAAACAAATAATAATTAAACAAAAAAAAGGTCAAACTAGACGACTGTAACTAGTAAATAAACATTCTTTTCCAACAACCAAAAAACTAGTAAATAAAAAATTTAATCAATTCGATTAAATTAAATTAGGCATAGAAAACAAGAATGAACGAAACGAAATCCTGAGAACAATAAATCAAATCAAGTGAGTAAGCAGTACCGTTTCTGAGCCCAATACTGGACTCTTCGGTGTTGATGTTGTAAAGCACGCCTTCATATCTGATCTCACTCTTCGAAGTCAAACTTATCAAGCTCCCTATGTACGAATCGGCCGCTGAGCTCGATCTCGTAGCAGTCTCCGTAGCCATAGCCTCTGATTTCAAACCCTAACGCATGCAGATTTACAGAGGGAGGGAGAGAGTAGGGTTTTGCTTTTGGGGATGGCTCTGAGATAATCGGTTCTCTGTTTTGTGGAAAAGAGGGAGATCTGCCCATTTAATATATAATTTTGTTTTTGCGTTTTAGGTAATTTGACGATATGACGAGATAACCAATGGTAAACAGACACGTGGATAGATCTCGGACTTGTTGGTCTTTTTGTTGGAATTCGAGGAGAAGGCGGTCCAAAGTGCAGTGGGTCTAGTAAACGAGGAATGGCAGTGGGTTTGAAAAGGGTGACTTGCTGGGCTGTTGAGAATCGTCCCACTCGAAAATTACTTATCTATCCATCCAAGTTTGGCAAAATATAAACTTTTGATTTCGCATGTGTTAAGCAAATACATGGTAAGTTGGGAGTGAAATAATTTTAATACTCATATGTTTATTAGAAGTCATGCATTAGTTCCATGAAAGTAAACATATCATTATAACTTTTAATTTGTTGGTTATATACACAAAATGCAAGTACAAAGAATTCTTTTTTTCTTTTTTTTTATATTGAGTATTTTATAAAGTAAACTATTCAACTTTTAAAGTTTCTTATTCTAAAGCATAAAAATAGGTATATGCGTTTTTTTTTTTTTTTACAATTGATTTTTTTATGCAGATGAAACGTAAAAACTCATCTAAGATTTTGATTTAAAAAAAAACATAAAAACTCAATGTGGAAGATATTATCGTTGGTGATATCTTTCTAGTCAAAAATTCATTCATCAGTAAGGAGTATTATTTGGCCCGCGTCCTGTGGGTCGAAGTGGATAGCCCAAGATTTGATGGGCCAAAGTTAAATTTGGTATGATGGTTAGGCCTGTTCGCCCTGCCCATTCTAAGTTTTGGTAGAATTTCGACTTAGGATTTGAAACCTTCGACCTGATTAGGCCCGTTCACATCTTGACCCGCTCATTTGCCTTATGTTGCCTTATTTCCATCTAAACATATAAGTAAATGTCTTGTCTTTTACTTTAATCTTCATTTTTTTATTATTCCTTTTACTTTTTTTTCATTTTTTTGTCAAAGATAGTATTATTTCATTTACTTAAGTTTACAATGTAAATAAGGAAGTATCCCTCATTTGGATTCAATTAAAAATACTAGAAAATCAAAGTAAAAAAAACAAGACATTTACTTAAATGTTTGGAATGGAAATAAGACAATGCAATATAAGGCGAAGAAACAAAAAGGCAATGGGGGCCCGTAGGTGGCCTAACCCGACCAAGAAAGCCCACTTAAGCCTGACTCTATAAGCGGGCTCGGGTCAATCCCTTTTAAACTTCGACTTGAGCCAAAAAAAAGTAAAAATCCGACAATAACCAATCCGAGCCTAGCCCAAACTCAAAAATTTAGAGCCGGACATGACGAACCCCACCCATCAACTAGTTGTACTTCTCTTCCCAATACTAAAAAAGATCTCAAGTCCCAACCTAAACTCATTTATGTATAGAAATAGGGGTTTTTAATTGCAATTGGGTCCCCAAACTTTTTTTTGAGGCAATTAGGTCATCCAACTCTCTTATCTGTTCCAATTGAGCCATTCCGTCAATTTGGCCGTTAAGTTGAGGGCTAAAACCGTCCATCTCAATTAAATTTAAATTTTAAAAATTGAAAATAATAATAATTATATTAAAATAGTTAAATAAATAAATCAACTTAAATATGTATAAAAATAGGGGTTTTAAATTGTAGAGGTTCCTGAACTTCACCTTGAGTTGCAATTGGGTCCCCAAACTTTTTTTTTAAGGCAATTAAGTCATCCAACAATCTCATCCATTCCAATTGAGTCATTCCGTCAATTTGGGTGTTAAATTGAGGGTTAAAACCGTCCATCTCAATTAAATATTTTAAATTTTAAAAATTGAAAAAGAAACTGAAAAAAGTGAAAAATAATAATAATTAAATCAAAATAGTTAAATAAATAAAAAAAATTAAAAATTAAAAATACAAATCCAAATCCCTCGCTGTCTCTCTTTCGCTTTCTCTTAGCTCTCCCTCTCTGTCTCTCCCTCTATCCCGCTGTTGAGGCCCAAAAAATTCATGGTTGTACCCGAATAAATTCCTAGCCCAAAACGATATATTATTGAAAAAAGACCCGATTTGGAATACACAAAAGTCTGCCATGCACAAGCCACACCCCGTATGCCATGCCAAATAAAAAAAGGGGGTTTCACTAAAACACCCAAAATGGGGGCTGAAATTATAAAAAAATCCAACACCCAAAACACTTTATAAACACATCCAAAACCCATCATTACACACACTCAAAATCCATTTATAAACACACCCAAAAAATATACAATTGTTGATTTTGGAGTTGATTTTGGGTGTGTTTCTATGTTTAAATAGTGTGTGAGTTTTTTTATAAATACATGCCTAGGATTGGGTTTATTTATAATAATCTAATAAAAAAATCCGTCATGCTAGAAACTGAGATCAAAATTATAAAAATGCATTTAGCTCTACAAATCAATGTCAATTATCCTATCGAGCGTCATAATTAAAAGCGTGCCAAGCGATGTGCCATGCCAAGTGGGAAATTATTATTTCACACCAAATTGCAATACAAGCTTAAGTGGGCCCAAGCCACTCAAATGTCCGGGGCTTGCTTGAGTAGGTTATGGTATGGATGGTAACAAGTTGTCATGGGGCCCATCGATGGGTCGAGAAATGGAAGTCTCGGGTTTCTTGGGGGGCCTTGGGACTCAAGCCCATTTTTTAGGCCCAAACGTGGGTAAGCATAAGAAAGAAAATAGCTCATCGCTTCAACTAGAGTAACCCAACCAAAATAGCCCATTGCTCCAATTAGAATAAGCCAACCAAAAGGCCCAACATTTGATAAGATTATCCCATCCATTGGATAGATCATGTGGTTGTCTTAAAAAGCCCATGTAATTAGAATAAAAAGCAGCACAAGCCTTGGCACTTAGCTGGAAGACAAAATCACGAAGGAGCTTGGGAAATCCACATGTGAGGGGCTGCTGGGAGGCTAAGGAACGAGTTCCAAGTGAAAGCATTCAAGAGACCAAGGGGTATTGGCACGCAAGGAAGGATGCCATCCCTTGAACCAGCATGCACACCCATTTTCTTTCCTTCATCAGATTTGGCCATGAGAAGAGGAAGAAAGAAGAGAAAGAAGATGGATGAAAATAGAAGCTCTCCTCTGAAGCAGCCGCGAGAAGAAGCATTGAGCTCCCAAAAATATCTGATTTTGTGGGATTGGGCAGAGCTGATTTTTGCCACCATAAGGTAAGTCAAGATGGAGGAGAAGAAAGGAAGATGAAAACTTGGCTAGATTGGAAAGAACCATTAGGGTTTCTTGGAGAAGAACAATTCCCAACAGCTATAAATAGGACCCCTTCTACCCAACACAACACAACATACCCTTCAGAGAGCAAGCTTCCTCTCTCACCTGCAAACCCAGTAATTTTCGTGCTTTGCTTGCCCATTGCCCCTATTTCCCTGTTCTGGCAAATTGCTATAGCTTTGATAGAGTCACTGTCAAGCTGCCGGAAACTGCTAAGGCCACCCATAATTCTTCACCATCCTTCTTCCTCTTCATCAAACCTCCTTAGAACCCCTTTCTCCTTCCATTAGAACCTCTGTCTCTCATAGGAACCCACAGCTCTCTCTCCTTAAGTGCTAAACGCATGATAATTTTGCTCCCATGCCATAAGTCTCTCATGCCAAG